ACCTTTGAGGGCAGTAGTTGGATTGACTGCTTGTGACGTCTAGCTTCAACCTTGGTCCTTGAGAAAATATTGTGCTCGTCTCAATTTGCCTCCTTGGTTAAGGAAAGTGTAGAACATTTTATTGTATCATGTATTTCTCAATAACTGATATTTGTGCTAGCTGTGGGGCGCCCAGGAACATTATTGCCCAGGAACATTATCTTCTATTTTCCGGGCTATTTTTAAATATGAAACCTTCCGAAATGAACATTTCAACAAAAAAGCCCCTTTTTCCCAACACCAACCAGACTTCAATATATTTATTAAGAACCAGACTTTCTGGACAGAACTTACCTCAGACCAATGATGTGGTTATCGTTTTCTATGTGGTCGCCCCTCGAGCATGCAAAGTTTGCAATTTTTTTTCAAAAACATTAATATATTTAAAGCACTTTTATACCTTTAATGTGACCAGTGCGGCCGTTTTGCACCTCCTACACAGCTCCTGGGTATGTTCCTTGTGTAGCAGATACAAATCTGCCTTGATTAAACAATATGCTCTAGCCAGTTAACATAACACCAACAGATCCAACTTTACAACTCTTTGGGCTGCTTCCTTGGACTGAGCTGTGGACTGTGGACTGTGGACTGTGGATTACACATCCCTACAATGAAATGCTTGTCACAAGTTTGTTTTTGAATAATTTGAAAATGACCTAACTATTGATAGTTTTCGCATACATGAACTATATATTTAGCCATAAACTATGCAGTATCTGCATCGTAATTCACGCCCTATACTTATAGTCCGTAATTAGATTGTGAATATTGCTTACACACAGAAGGCAACAGACAGAAGGCAACCGGAAGGCTCAGCCAAAGTCTACTATACTGTACAGAGTGATATGCTAGCATTAAGACAAAATACAGATAATGAATGAATAGACAAACGGATTCACTGAAAACACGGCACCAAACAGATAACTAGAATTTTTACTAATCACAAATTTATTCACTGTACTGTGTTTATGTAAGGTTGCCCTCTGGGAGCCCCCATGCCTCCTGCTATGTTTTTCTATAAACATACTGATTAAACTGATCCCATAATTCAATGTTTGATCTAATTTAGCAGGTGGGACCAAATTATAGGAATATCTCATTAGGGTTTGAGTGCTGACTGCTGTAATAATGTAAATGCAGAAATTGGGAGAAATTTGACTTAAATCGATCGATTTAAGGGTTATAACCGTCACTTCTGTGGTAGTCTCCACTCTCCAGGCACCCTTAAGATTGGAAGGTCAGGGCGGATAAAGCAGTGGATACCCTAGAAGCCGGGGCAACCGGCAACCCGGATACCGAATGAAGCAAAAACATATCACATCGTTCAGCTACAACGAGCAGTTAGGAACAGCGACTGATTAACCAGAGCTTAAGCACTGAAATTAGATTAACCTTTTCCGAACTAAAGATAGATTAGTGTGTTTTTATCACCTGTGTCATGAAATACAAGTTTATAATTGTGATTTGTACATTTTATATGTACATTGTATACACTATGCATTACCTGTTAAGGCAATAATCGCTCATCGAACATTTTACATTGTACAATGTACATTTACATTGTACAATGTACATTGTTCGATGAGCTATTATTGCCTTAACAAGAATAATATGCTATTACGTCATTACTCATTATGTTAAACAGCTATTATAACAATTCCTTAATACACTGAGAATATGTACGGGTATCGGCCTTACAAAATGACAGGCCTCACAAAATGACAGCCCACATAGACCATGCTATAGCTTAGGTTCCCTAAACATTGAACCCTATTCCTTTTGCTGTATGAAAGAAAAAGCATTAATTAACACTTCCCAAGGAATGATAATGTAGTAAGGAATGATAATCTAGTATCTTTGTTTCACACAATAGAGCATAAGTTTTGTGGTTTATCCACTGGGCTTAGAGTTTGTGTTTAAGCTACCAAATTTTATTATTATTATAAAGGGTCTCAATAAGAGGTCTCGACTGCCTAGGCGTCAAACCTTGGCAGTCGGTAGTTTTCCTCTGCACTGGCCCGGGATCAGCTGACCCTAGGGACCAGAGGGTAAAGGTGTAGAGACTATGTGTATCTACAAATCTTTCGAGGTTGTTTTTTATTATTATTATTATAATGACATAGAATCTATATTTCTTACATAAATATGGACGTTTTTGCTGTTCAGTCATTGCCCCGCCTAACTGTTACCCAGAATGAAGACCAAAGTTTAGAATTTAACCCCAGAAAACCAGGTACTATCATGACTTATGTCAATCAAAGACTACTCTGGTCAAATAAAAAAACTTACTATTTAGTGACTTTGGTAGAAGAAATGACAAAAAAATGACCTAGCCTCACAAAATGATAGTGTTATGCCTCACAAAATGACAGTTTTATGTTATGATACAAAGATGGCATATTTATATTGGATGACCCTTGCCTAATTATTGGTATTCTTAAACCCAGTAAGCTTATGATGAGCCTAAATGTGTTTGTTTGATCATCAATTTTAATCAAAATGCCTCACAAAATGACACCGAAAAGCCTTACAAAATGACAATGTTTCAGATTGAATTACTTTCATCATCTAAAATGGATCAGAAACAGTCAATACAAGAGGGAGTTAAAAATAATCATAATCTGACAGTTAACAATCAAGTAGCATTAAAAAAGTGCAGTTCTGATATCAAAACTTTGATTTCAAACTCTTTGATTTCAAACTCTGAATTCAAAACTCAACGAAATAAAGCTTCTATTTTGTGAAAGCAGAGAGTAATAACAACTCCTAAAACATGTCAAACGTTAACTAAACACTGAAAAGTGATCTATCCAGTCATAGAAAATATCAAATATAACCAAATACTATGTTCAAGTATAAAAACAAAAAATGATTTTTACGCCTCACAAAATGACATTTTTTAAATTTTTTCAAAGTACAAAAAATGTTCCTTTTTTAATATATTCTGGTAAAAACAGAATTTTTATTTTTTTATTTTTTTATTTTATTTTATTTTATTTTTTTTTTAATTTTTTTATTTTTAAAAAAATGCAACCTACTAAAACCAATGTTTATATTAAAACAGAACTGGTATAATATAAACAACATATACAGGGTGGGCCAAAAGTCAGTGTGCAAACGTTGGCCTTAATAGCTCAGTCACTGAGTGCCCAATTGAAATACTTCCTTCTGGTATGACTTAGTACCACCACTGGTTCCAGGAATTTGTCAACTCGAAAAATATTCGCGTTCATTTTTTTCAAAGGGAGGTTCATTTTCACATTTATTTGATAGTTTGGATAGTCGGATCAAACTAAATGTTATTGAATTGTGTTTGGCCATTCGAATTACGTTTGTCCTGAAAGAATTAGAACTGTAGCTTCTCAGATGACCGAGATATGAAGCATAACGAGTTTAGGTGATCAGGTGATTGGTTTACCTAATCACGTGATAAGGTACCCCGTTAACTACCCCGTTAAACATTATGGGAATTGTTAAGGGTGCCCAATTAAGGTGTCGTGTCACGGTGTGACATAATCACCCAGTCAATTTTGTTAACGAGATACAGAAAATGCATGATAACTTCGTCATTTCTAATCCGTTTTGCCTCATGTTTTTAGATCATATGCAACATTTGATAATCTACCGTCTCTGAAAAAATTAGGCGTTCAGCATGTTTAGAGAAAACAATATAGGTGCTTTAATATTGAATGGGCGTGGTCTAAAATATTCGAATTTTCAAATTTTGACGACGGAATCCTCGAACCAGTAAGTACAGTATGCCATCTGCAAAGCAACAGCTCTCAAATATAAAACACGGCGGAGGTATAAGACCCAACGTTTGCACACTGACTTTTGGCCCACCCTGTGTATCTAACAGTAAGACACGTGAAATGCCGTTTTGGGCGAGAGAGAGAGAGAGAGAGAGAGAGAGAGAGAGAGAGAGAGAGAGAGAGAGAGAGAGAGAGAGAGAGAGAGAGAGAGAGAGAGAGAGAGAGAGAGAGAGAGAGAGAGAGAGAGAGAGAGAGAGAGAGAGAGAGAGAGAGAGAGAGAGAGAGAGAGAGAGAGAGAGAGAGAGAGAGAGAGAGAGAGAGAGAGAGAGAGAGAGAGAGAGAGAGAGAGAGAGAGAGAGAGAGAGAGAGAGAGAGAGAGAGAGAGAGAGAGAGAGAGAGAGAGAGAGAGAGAGAGAGAGAGAGAGAGAGAGAGAGAGAGAGGGAGAGAGAGGGAGAGAGAGGCTGATGAACGAACTAAGTGAATCATAGTCCATGTTATAAATATATAACTTAACTTCTGAAAGGAAATAATCTGGATAAGACCATCCCTCGTTGTCTTGTAGAATATTCCTCGCTTAGGTTTCATAAATTCGTTATTAAATAAAATATATATAATTGTCCTGGGGTTCTAGAACTTTCTTTAATAACCGTTATTAAATATAATATTATATATGGTCCGATCCTGGGGTTCTAGAACTTTCTTTAATAACTTATATTATTTATATACTTAGTGGGTCACAAAATATGTTGTTAGTATGACATTTTGTCTCTACTCTATGTGTTTTAAATGTGCTTTAAGTTTTCACTGTCACTCTGTGTTACTTTTTACGCGAAGTAAAGTTTGTGCTTTACGTTTTAGGTTTTTTTTCTTACTGTATGTGATATTTCATCGGTCTCATGGCCCAATTTGTGATGTAATATCCAGATCTTCCAGGAGATACCGGTCATAATGTTTGTGCTGGGTACACGCCAACATTTGTTGTTTATCGTATTGTGGTTTCATATCATGAACAGATCATGTTTCAGTTGTGACGTCATGGAACTAGTTTAGCTAGAATCTGCCGTTTTCTGTCCTGGCACCATGCCACAACACTCTTAGTGTTATCATTTCCTGATGTTTCACCTTTTATCGCTTATTCTATTGCTTTTGCGTTATATATTGAAAGGGATCAATGATCATGATCTTTTATTTTATTTATTATTATTAACCCATTACTTCTCTTAGCCAATGTAGCCATACCGCCAGTTTTAGTTGTAGCTTCATAACAAACGAAGACACTTGGAAGAATCCAGAAAATTGCAAGTGATGCGCCCAAATGCAAGATGTCTTACAACTCTGCTGGACAGGACCTCTTTGTATCGACCATCTCCAATAACCGTAGCTCAGTTAATTGAGTTCGGGAAGAAGCGAAATGAGTCCCTCAGCTATGGTTTCCTTCACCAAGAGCTTCCAATAAGAATATCGCATATGGTGAAAGAGCTTCACTTCCTACCAGAGTCATTACTGGAGCAGCCTTCAGTCAAACATGTGAAGGACATGTATATTAAAACTTTTGAGGATCTGGCTGAATTTGATCCAGGCGGCACGTACGACGAACAGAATCTTAGCAAGTGAGTTTAATTTAGGAATATATTTAGGAATATGCAGGGTGGTCCAGAAGTTACTGCCTTTTTGTGCAATTCTGACACGAATTACATGAGATATTAAAATCATACTAACGTATCATTGATATTTAGATTTAAAAGAAGACTAGAAGAAATCAAGAGGAGGCATCAAACTGTTGTAGAGATCATGGCAGAGGTATGTTGTGTTTTTAAAATATTGTTGTTACGCTATTTTCGTCAAACTTTAGTATTAATTCACGTGATCATGTCATTCACTTGATTAGATTCATCACCTAAGAGGGATCAATACATTTCGAAATATTTTTCCCAGAATTTATCATTTTATGACTCAAACACATTTATTTCTCACAAGGGAATACTTGCGTTGAAAAACGAAAGTGGCTCAGATAGATTCGACCCTTCCATCAATTATTTCTTGGACAGGTTTTACACCAGCCGGATAGCTATCAGAGTTCTAATATCTAATCACTGTAAGTTACTAAAATTTACTAAGTTACTGTAAGTTACTAAAATTTACTAAGTTACAAAGTTAATCACTCACAAATCACTTTCTGTCATAAAGCATTTTTACGCTTTTGAACTGATTGCGAGACAATATTCAAATATTGACTGTATTTATTTAATTAATTATTTATAATATACCAAATTATAATATTTCATAATTCAAGCCAATTTTAAGGGAATTAATTAAATTGACATAAGTTCGGGTATCAACTGAAATAATAAATCGCATTCATGGATATCTAAAATTATAATCTTGTTTGTATTGGGAAATGTAACAAAACCCAGCTTTCAGTTCAATTTCCAACTAACATGATACCTCATCAGTGGTGCTGTTCGGGACAGAGGAAGAATGTCCGGGACATTATGGTATCATAGACCCCTCTCTGGATGTCCAGGACATTGTTGACGATGCAGCAAGCAGTGCTAAGTATCTCTGTAATCATCATTATGGGGACTGTCCTGATGTTAAGATCAATATTTTCAGTAAGTCTATTTGAACATTCTTTAACTTACTGAATTAGATGTAATTTTCCTTGCAATGTTTTGAGTACTATGGTCTGGCCTCCATTACAGGGTCAATGCAGCAATAAGTATGTAATATGGTGTTCTGTAAAGAATCCATTTTTGGCGAATAAATGCAGATGTTCTTGAATTTTCAAAAAACTCTCATAATTTATATTATCAAAAAATTGCCTGGATACCAATTAATTGATTTCGTCTTCCTGGCATTGAATGACAATTCCATGGCCTTTTTAAGTCAGTCTCATTAAATAAATATCCCGTATTTATTGAAAACCTGTCTCTGAATATCACCTAACTCCTGTCCCTGCTCATCTGTTAAATACTCTTTCCACGTCCCAACTTTACCATTTCTCAAAAACAAGTCGTGTTTGTAATGATGTGAGTAGTTGCAACTGGTGTCCTTCTTCATGTAAGAGAACTGTGTTTTCTCTTCAACTTCAGCTATAAGCGAGTCACTACCTATACCACTACACTCAACCCCGATAAACTGAGCTATTCTCCCGATCTCTCTGGCAAGGTCCTCCACCATATCCTCGTATCGTAACAGCAACATGTTCTGTTTCTGGATCTTCAACTTCAGGTAGCCCCCAACATGATCCTCCCACAATCCATGATTTGCCCGAACTGGATTGCGGATAACATCCCTGTAAAAATGCTGGAATGTAACTCCCCTCATGCTCGGTTTAAGTGACATGTGATTGTAATAAGACAGTGCCACATCTCGTGGGTTCCTATAGACGTATATCAGCTTAGCCTCACTCCCCTGCAGTAGATCATCTATCCATTGTACCGGATCATGTGTCTTTATAACTCTAGGATCAGATAAACGTTCTATCTCTTCCAGAGAGAGTGAGAGAGGTCGGGTCACGTTTATCCAGGGTACCCGCTCAAAAAGTAAAGTGTTATCACCCGGCCATAAGAGGTGACGTAGGATGTTCTGTGTCCAAGTTGTCCCACTCTTCTGGTAGGATGCGACTATGATGTCCGTTCTGGGCCGGATTTTAAACTTGGTCCGGATTTCCGTTCGGGGTTGGATAAAATGAGGAATTGCAATGTTATCGTACACTTTGTAAGGTAACTGATCAAACGAAACCATGACGGCGATTAAGCGGCTAATTCTAATGTTTCTCTGAGCTACACAACAACTCGTAAAGACGATACTTGATCAGAGTGCACTACAGTACTGAAGTAACTACAGTTCGGCGTAAAATGATCGAATATGTTTCTCATCATTCGATGCTCGATTTCTATCTCCCAAATCTTCATATTTTCCTTTCTCAGTAGTCTAAATATCCACACCATTGTCTTTTAAAGAATACACAATCCAACACCTGCTCTGTAATTTCTTATTTGAGGATTAGAATTAGTTGTCTTCCTCCTAGGTCCTGTGTTCTGTAGTGTCGTTTCAAATTTCAAACTGGGATACATTTCAGCAATGGGGCCAATCCTCTTTTTGTTCAAGATCCAATTACCGGTGATTGGTGAAGATTTTGAAGTAGATTTTGAACACAAATTAATCAGAGTACCTATACATTTCGTCACATTTTGCAGTTCAGTAGTTTTAGTAACTGTAGACTATAAATTATAATGCATTGTCACCAACGATGCATATCTGAAATACGGTAGCGGTAATGATTGATATGCCTAACGTTTGGAGGCAGCAACTACCCACCTACAATAACTTGAAATTAATATATTTTCACTTGACTATGAGACCTCACTTCTCAGCCTTAACAGTTTATGCAATGTAAAATTCATCATACCTTATTTCAGAACAGGACGGATCGAAGGATGACGAAATCTCAGTTGTTTACATCGCTTCTCACTTACATCACATGGTCTTTGAACTTATTAAGGTAAATCATAATTATGTTCACTTTCATCTCAATAACCAAGCGTGTTCTTTCCTATGACTTTTTGCCTTTGGTGAAAATCTATAGTGAATAGTTAGGAAACATGTGAGTGGATATTGTAATGATTTTGAATTGACATTTGATTCTATTACTGCCTCTAAAAATACACTAACAGTAGAGTAAATTAATGCTTTAGATAGATCCTTGCAGTTACACGTTGTATTACTATGCTTGTAGCTATTGAGTCACAAACAAGCACATATAAAGTGGTTTCAAGAAGCAAGCAATTACAAAGTAAATCAGCCAGAAAGAAAGTTGGCAAACTAATGTATGTGATTTTAACAGCCTTTAAGTTAAAACTCACTGCCGTGACCGGAACTAAGGTTTTTTTTTTACATATTTGATAGATTTACAGATCTGGCTTGACAAAAATTTTCAGAAAAAAATCATGTTCGCGGGAAGCAAAAATCCGATGAGTTTTTTAGGGGGGAGGGGTAGGGGGTTCAGGGGGGTTGGGAAGGGTTGTCACATGACGAGAAATTTTGTGCAAAAATTAAACAATCTTTATTTGTTGATATTATTCACCCCTGTTGCCTAGAGTGGTGGGTCTGCACTTGAGAAGAGTGGGTCTGGCCACTAGAATGGTGGGTCTGCAATCTAGAAGTGGGTCTGGCAATCAGAATGGTGGGTCTGCAATCTAGAAGTGGGTCTGGCAACCAGAATGGTGGGTCTGTCCCCTAAAGAGTGGGAAGAGTGGTCTGACAACCAGAGTAGTGGGTGTGCACTTGAGAATAGTGGGTCTGGCAGCTAGAATGGTGGGTACGCAATCTAGAAGTGGGTCTGTTAACCAGAATTGTGGGTCTACACCCTTGAAGAGTGGGTCTGACAACCAGAATGGTGGGTCTGCACTTGAGAAGAGCGGTTCTTGCGGCTGGAATGGTGGGTCTGCAATCTAGAAGTTGGTCTAGCAACCAGAATTGTGGATCTGCATTCGAGAATAATGAGTCTTCACTCTAGAAGAGTGGGTCTGACAACCAGAATGGTGGGTCTGCACTTGAGAAGAGTGGGTCTGGCGGCTGGAATGGTGGGTCTGCAATATAGAAGTTGGTCTAGCAACAGAATTGTGGATCTGCATTCGAGAATAATGAGTCTTCACTCTAGAAGAGTGGGTCCGGCAATCAGAGTGGTGGGTCTGCACTTGAGAAGCGTGGGTCTGGCCGCTAAATGGTGAGTCTGCACCCTTTAAGAGTGGGTCTGACAACCAGAGTGGTGGGTCTGGACTTGAGAAGAGTGGGTCTGGCAGCTGGAATAGTGGGTCTGCAATCTAGAAGTTGGTCTGGCAACCAGAATGGTGGGTGTACGTACACCCTTGAAGAGTGGGTCTGACAACCCGAGTGGTGGGTCTGGACTTGAGAAGAGTGGGTCTGGCAGCTGGAATGGTGGGTCTGAAATCTAGAAGTGGGTCCGGCAACCAGAATGGTGGGTGTACGTACACCCTTGAAGAGTGGGTCTGACAACCAGAGTGGTGGGTCTGCACCCTTGAAGAGTGGGTCTGACAACCAGGGTGGTGGGTCTGCACTTGAGAAGAGTGGGTCTGGCAGCTAGAATGGTGGGTCTGCAATTTAGAAGTGGGTCTTGCAACCAGAATGGTGGGTTTGCATTCTTGAAGAATGGGTCTGACAACCAGAGTGGTGGGTCTGCACTTGAGAAGAGTGGGCCTGGCAGCTAGAATGGTGGGTCTGCAATTTAGAAGTGGGTCCGGCAGTTAGAATGGTGGGTCTGCAATCTAGACGTGGGTCTGGCAGTTAGAATGGTGGGTCTGCAATCTAGACGTGAGTCTGGCAACATGAATGGTGGGTCTGCACCCTTCAGGCTTAAAGAGTGGGTCTGACAACCAGAGTGGTAGATCTGCACTTGAGAAGCGTGGGTCTGGCAGCTGGAATGGTGGGTCTGCAATCTAGAAGTTGGTCTGGCAACCAGAATGGTGGGTGTACGTACACCCTTGAAGAGTGGGTCTGACAACCAGAGTGGTGGGTCTGGACTTGAGAAGAGTGGGTCTGGCAGCTGGGATGGTGGGTCTGCAATCTAGAAGTTGGTCTGGCAACCAGAATGGTGGGTGTACGTACACCCTTGAAGAGTGAGTCTGACAACCCGAGTGGTGGGTCTACACTTGAGAAGAGTTGGTCTGGCGGCTAGAATGGTAGGTCTGCGATCTAAAAGTGGGTCTTGCAGCCAGAATGGTGGATCTGCACTTGAGAAGAGTGGGTCTGTCAGCTGGAATGGTGGGTCTGCAATCTATAAGTGAGTCTGGCAGCTAGAATAGTGGGTCTGAAATCTAGAAGTGGGTCTTGCAACATGAATGTGGGTCTGCACCCTTGAAGAGTGGGTCTGGCAATCAGAATGGTACGTCTACACTCTAGAAGAGTGGGTCTGGCAACCAGAATGGTGGATTTTCGCCCTGGAAGGGTGAGTCTCACTGAGTCTGGAAACCAGAAAGGTGGGTCTACAATCTGGAATAGTGGGTCTGGCAACCAGAATTGCGGGTCTGCATTCTAGAATAGTGGATCTTCACTCTAGAAGAGTGGGCCTGGCAACCAGAATGGTAAGTCTACACTCTGTCAACCAGATTTGGGGGTCTATAAACTAGAATATAGGAGATATGGCTACCAGAATCGTGGGTTTGGACAACCCGAATGGTGGGTCTTTACTCTAGAATAATAGGTCTGGTGGGTCTACACTTTAGAAGAGTGGGTCTGGCAACTAGAATGGTGTGTCTGCAATCTATAAGAGTCGGTCTGGCAACCAGAATAGTGGGTCTGCAATCAAGGGAATCAAGATGAGTGAGTCTGGCAATCAGAATGGTGGGTCTGCACCTTAGGGTAGTGGGTCTGGAAACAAGAATGGTGGGTCAGAATTCTTGAATAGTGGGTCTTCACTCTAGCTAAGAGTGGGTCTGGCAACAAGAATGGTGGGTAAGAATTCTAGAATAGTGGGTCTTCACTCTAGAAGAGTGGGTCTGGCAACCAGAATGGTAAGTCTACACTCTGTCAAGTGTCAACCAGAATTGGGGGTCTAAACTAGAATATAGGATATATATGGCAACCAGAATTGTGCGTCTGGAGTCTATAAGAGTCTAGAATAGTGGGTCCGGCAACCCGAAAGGTGGGTCTTCACTCAAGAATAGTGAGTCTGGCAATCGGAATGGTGCGTCTACACTCTAGAAGAGTGGGGCTGGCAACCAGAATGGTAGGTCTTCGCCTTAGAAGAGTGGGTCTGGCAACCAGAATGGTGTGTCTGCATTTTAGAATAGTGGGTCTTGACTCTATACCTACTAGAAGAGTGGGTCTCCTCTCTAGAAGAGTGAATCTGGCAACCAGAATGGTAATTCTTCACTCTGTCAACCAGAATTGGGGGTCTATGAACTAGAATATAGGAGATATGACAACCAGAATAGTGGGTCTGGCAACCAAAATGTTGAGTCTGCACTCTAATAGAGTGGGTCTGGCAACTAGAATGCAGACACGTAGCCAAGGGGAAGACCCCCGGAAAAAAATTGAACCCCAAAAAAAATAAGCCCCCTAGTCCCCATGGTTGCCTGGTAAGTGGGCTGTGTTTATGACTGTTTGATTAAACGACACGACAGGCAATCGACTTTAGCATTTCGTAAATTATTCCCAAATCCCACTATACAATATGTACTTATTCCATTCAATGTGACAAGTACTGAGTTCCCCCCTAGCCCCCAACTTTGTATTATTGTGATGTCTGAAATTACAAATTTCTAATGCCAAATGTCGTCTGAAACACCCTATTTCTCAAAAATTTTCCGGGGGCTGCACCCCCAACTTTGTATTGTCGCCGTCCTACAAATTTCTTTAATGCCTAATGTCGTCTAAAACAAATAATTTCTAAAAATTTTCTTGGGGGCTGCGCCCCCCACCCCCCAGCCCCCCAACTTTATATTATTGTGATGTCTGATTATTACTGCGCCCCCCCAGCCCACCAACCTTGTATTATTGTAATGTCTGATTATTGCTGTCCCACAAATGTCGTCTGGAACACCCTATTTCTCAAAAATTTTCCGAAGGCCAGGGCTGCGCCTGCCTAGCCCTCCAACTTTGTATTATTGTGATGTCTGATTATTACTGTCCTACAAATGTTTTTAATGCCAAATGTCGTCTAAAACACATAATTTCTCAAAAATTTTCTGATTGGCTCCGCCCCCCCCCCTCCCTAGCCAACCAACTTTATTATTATTGTGATGTCTGATTATTACTGCCCTACTAATTTCTTTAATGCCTAATGTCGTCTGAATCACCCTATTTCTCAAAAATTTTCCGGGGGGTGCGCCCCCCTAGCCTCCCAACTTTGTATTATTGTGATGTCTGATTATTACTGTCCTACAAATTTCTTTAATGCCAAATGTCGTCTAAAACACATTATTTCTCAAAAATTTTCTGGGGGGCTGCGCCCCACCCCCGGCCCCCCAACTTTATATTATTGTGATGTCTGATTATTACTGTCCCCAAATTTCTTTAATGCCAAATGCCGTTTTAATCACCCTATTTCTCAAAAATTTTCCTGGGGGTTCGCTCCCCTAGCCCACCAACTTTACATTATTCTGATGTATGATTATTGCTGTCCTACAAATTTCTTTAATGCCAAATGTCGTCTGAATCACCCTATTTCTCAAAAATTTTCCGGGGGCTGCGCCCCCCAGCCCACCAACCTTGTATTATTGTAATGTCTGATTATTGCTGTCCTACAAATGTCGTCTGGAACACCCTATTTCTCAAAAATTTTCCAAAGGCCAGGGCTGCGCCCCCCTAGCCCCCCAACTTTGTATTATTGTGATGTCTGATTATTACTGTCCTACAAATTTTTTTAATGCCAAATGTCGTCTAAAACACATAATGGTGGGTGTTTCTCAAAAATTTTGTGGGGGGCTGCGCCTTCCCCCCTCCCTAGCCAACCAAAGGAGCTTCGCCCCGGCTACGTGTCGT